TAATGCTTGTATACTTCGGGCAATTAAGCTAATTACATTAAACTTTTAATTATTTGATATTTCATCCAAAATGGGCCAGTTAATTATATTGTTATTTTTGTCGTTGCTGCATTGCTCATCTTGTTGGTGCTGAATATGACGGGGTGATAGCGGTCATTTGTTCAGGGCACTCAGACAACTCGTACAAACCCTCACTGACTCGCTGACTCACTAGAATCATTTGACTCGCTGACCCACCAGAATCATTTTGTTTGTATTACACACCCTGGGCAAGCCAGGTACTCATTTATTATAAGTAAATCGTAGTCACAAGTTTTGAAACAACACTGGAGTCTAATATATGTAATTCTCGTGGACAGGATACGGCGCGTGTGTAAGTATTTGGTCTCGAAGAAATACTTCGACAGTACAGTATTATTCTTCATCGGCCTGAACTGCATAACGCTGGCCATGGAGAGACCAAATATTCCACCGGACTCGACGGAGCGAGCCTTCCTGTCCACCTGCAACGACGTCTTCACGGTCGTCTTCGGACTCGAGATGTTGATAAAAGTGGGTGAAATGAAGCTTTAAGAGTTATTAATTCAACTTCCTGACATTGATGTAAATTAAATGGCTTGTCTTCGCCGTTGATATTCAAATCAACATAAATTAATGCCTCTTGATTGACAAATTGTACCTTCCGATATTTTTCGATATTTTTAATGATCCACTATATGTAATAAATCAAAAATAATCATTAAAACAAAACACAGAAGTGTAGTGTTAAATTCAAACCCTGCTGACTGCCAGGTGATCGCACAAGGCTTGTTGTACGGAAAGGACAGTTACTTCAGCTCTGGCTGGAACATCATGGACGGCATCCTGGTGATAGTGTCCGTCATTGACGTCCTTATGAGCCTCATCGCCAGGAGCTCTCCTAGGATATTCGGCATCCTCAGGGTCTTCAGGCTACTTAGAGCTCTCAGACCCCTCAGGTTAGTGCATCCTCAGGGTCTTCAGGCTTCTAAGGGCTCTTAGACCTCTCAGGTTAGAGCATTCTCAGGGTCTTCAGGCTTCTAAGGGCTCTTAGACCTCTCACGTTAGTGCATTTTCAGGGTCTTCAGGCTGCTTAGAGCTCTTAGACCTCTCAGGTTAGTGCATTCTCAAGGTCTTCAGGCTTCTAAGGGCTCTTAGACCTCTCACGTTAGTGCATTCTCGGTTTTCTTGTGTAATTCCAATATAATTTAATTCTCAAATCTATATTTTTACTGTTGCAAACGTTTATTTGCTTGATAATGAATGGCTTTAATTTGAAACGTCAAAACATTATAACATAATTTCACCTAGAAACCTCAAATTCGAACTTTCAAATCCTGCAGAAAGTCTAATTCACCGTATTGAGAAAAACGCTGCAATTTTTTTTCAATAAGAATGCCTCTCTAGAATTCAACGAAAGCTGCATTGAACAATGACTTCTGCTTAAAAATATAAATTAGGAAATTAGCAAAAGATGGCAAAATATGATCTAGTAAGTGAATTTGATCGAAAACCACAGAGCGCATTTGATCGAAAAAATTTTCGACACTTTTCTCGGCATCTGAAGCGAGTTTCATTACTCATCGCAATCACTAACTAGTAACTACATGCGCAGAGTGATCAACCGCGCACCGGGGCTAAAATTGGTTGTACAAACTCTGCTGTCTTCCCTGCAACCTATCGGCAACATCGTGCTTATCTGCTGTACCTTCTTCATCATCTTCGGCATTCTAGGCGTACAGGTGAGATTAAACGCTCTTCTAATTATTTCAAATCAACTGTCAACATTGATTATTATTGATCCCAATCTCGTTGCCTTTATATTTATTAAAGATCTTTATATATTGTTTATTAAGGATCTACTCATGCTCTCGTGTAAGTATTAATTATTAATGTTTATCGCCACTTTCTAAACCTTGGATCAGGAATCTCATTAACGCCTCGCATGCCTTCATGTAAAATATTGAAGTTATTAATGAAAAGATTCTCACATTTTCAATAGTTTCGCTAAGGAAGGAATGGAAAAAACGTGTTGCGCATCAACGATAATGAGAAAAAGTAACGCTTGTATCGTAGCTTTATTCTAATAAAAAACAACCATAGAATTAATTTTACTGCAGAAATTGAAATTTAACAACCCTTCCCTACTTTCAGTTGTTCAAAGGCGCTTTCTTCTACTGCGACGGGCCAGGCTTGGACGGCGTGGAGACAAAGGCTGACTGTTTAAAGGACAAGAGGAACCAGTGGGTGAACCGCAAGTATAACTTCGACAACCTGGGCCACGCTCTCATGTCGCTCTTCGTTCTGTCGTCTAAGGACGGCTGGGTCAACATCATGTATACCGGCCTAGACGCCGTCGGGGTCGACCGACAGGTTCGTTGACATGTCGTCGGTTGCGTTCGTTTTTATAGCATTTTATTGTATTCAAGAACGTTATGAAATGTACGTTGAAAAAAGAATATTTAGCAAATTAGCGTCATCGGAGTCAACCGACAGGTTCGTTCATATGTCGTCGGTTGCGTTCGCTTTTATAGCATTTCATTGTATTCGAGAACGTTATGAAATGTGCGTTTAAAAAAGAATGTTTAGCGAATTAGTGTCATCGGGGTCGACCGACAGGTTCGTTGATATGTCGTCGGTTGCGATCGTTTTTATAGAATTTTATTTTATTCGAGAACGTTGTGAAATGTACGTTGAAAAAAGAATGGTACACGAATTAGCNTGTCAGACATGAGGGTGTGAAACCCTCACATCTATCCCCACAAACAACCCTCACTGCGGGGCCCCAACCTCCCTTTCTTTCTCCATACCCATGCTACAAACAACGAAGCACTTCATGCCAGTGTCGCTCTATCGTTACGAGCTAACTATTGGTCTGAATTGGTCTATGCACATCCAAGTTGTATTCTATTAATATAATTTGTTCACTTTATTTATCACAAGTTAAATAAAATATGTTATTCAGTTGAAAAAATGGGTATCAAAGCCTAAATTATTTTTTGCCATGATGAATTTATTAATCACGTCCTTGCTTGAACCGGAAAAATAAAATAAATAACATTGAAAAAGATTTAAAATGACAGCACATCATTATGTTTTATTATGTTTTTTTAAGATCGCGCGATCGCGCTGTAAATAGCAAAGAATTTGCTGGCAGTAGTCAAAGCTCATTCATTACATGTGCACTGCTGTGAAGGTGTAAGGTGGTTCAGCCCGACACGGCTGCGCTATAGCACGCATTCCTATGACGTCGCGTCGGCCAGACGTAAGATAACCAGCCCTCACGCGTCTCGGCAGCAAACTCGAGCAAGGTCGTTGTGGAGTTCGGGCGGCTTTGAATACAAACCTTAATGCCTTTTGATTGACAAATTGTACCTTCCGATATTTTTCGATATTTTTAATGATCCACTATATGTTATAAATCAGAAGTAATCATTAAAACAAAACACAGAATTGTAGTGTTAAATCAAACCCTCCTGACTGCCAGGTGATCGCACAAGGCTTGTTGTACGGAAAGGACAGCTACTTCAGCTCTGGCTGGAACATCATGGACGGCATCCTGGTGATAGTGTCCGTCATTGACGTCCTTATGAGCCTCATCGCTAGGAGCTCTCCTAGGATATTCGGCATCCTCAGGGTCTTCAGGCTTCTAAGGGCTCTCAGACCCCTNTATTGTATTCAAGAACGTTATGAAATGTACGTTGAAATAAGATTATTTAGCAAATTAGCGTCATCGGAGTCAACCGACAGGTTCGTTCATATGTCGTCGGTTGCGTTCGTTTTTATAGCATTTTATTGTATTCAAGAACGTTATGAAATGTACGTTGAAATAAGATTATTTAGCAAATTAGCGTCATCGGAGTCAACCGACAGGTTCGTTCATATGTCGTCGGTTGCGTTCGTTTTTATAGCATTTTATTGTATTCAAGAACGTTATGAAATGTACGTTGAAATAAGATTATTTAGCAAATTAGCGTCATCGGAGTCAACCGACAGGTTCGTTCATATGTCGTCGGTTGCGTTCGTTTTTATAGCATTTTATTGTATTCAAGAACGTTATGAAATGTACGTTGAAATAAGATTATTTAGCAAATTAGCGTCATCGGAGTCAACCGACAGGTTCGTTCATATGTCGTCGGTTGCGTTCGTTTTTATAGCATTTTATTGTATTCAAGAACGTTATGAAATGTACGTTGAAATAAGATTATTTAGCAAATTAGCGTCATCGGAGTCAACCGACAGGTTCGTTCATATGTCGTCGGTTGCGTTCGTTTTTATAGCATTTTATTGTATTCAAGAACGTTATGAAATGTACGTTGAAATAAGATTATTTAGCAAATTAGCGTCATCGGAGTCAACCGACAGGTTCGTTCATATGTCGTCGGTTGCGTTCGTTTTTATAGCATTTTATTGTATTCAAGAACGTTATGAAATGTACGTTGAAATAAGATTATTTAGCAAATTAGCGTCATCGGAGTCAACCGACAGGTTCGTTCATATGTCGTCGGTTGCGTTCGTTTTTATAGCATTTTATTGTATTCAAGAACGTTATGAAATGTACGTTGAAATAAGATTATTTAGCAAATTAGCGTCATCGGGGTCGACCGACAGGTTCGTTGATATGTCGTCGGTTGCGATCGTTTTTATAGAATTTTATTTTATTCGAGAACGTTGTGAAATGTACGTTGAAAAAAGAATGGTACACGAATTAGCGCCGTTGGAGTCAACCCACAGCTTTATTGATAGGTCGTCCTTTGTGGTCTTTTTTGTGGCATCATTTTTGAAAACTTTTTTCTTATTAATAATATGAAAAGAATCTTAGTTATCATCATTTTAAGATCATTATTATAATCTAAATCATTAAGAATCTTAGTGGAACGCCCATCATGAATTGAATGCGCTGTGAAAAGCACCATTTTATTTTACCTTTTCATTTCGTCGAATATGAAACGCTGCAAAGCAGGCTCATTGGAATGTAATGTGATGTGGAAAGAAAAATTCCGTTCAAAAGTTTTTATTGCTTCGTCTCTGTAGTATACGATGAGCAGAGAGCTTGCATATGCAATGTAAGGAATTGCATCGCGCGATGGATAGTACTACATTTTTAATGCATGTTACATGAACTTTACCATCATTCACTACCTTCATTCGTCCCTTTCTACCATCTATTCCAACGAAAAATGTCACATTTTTATCTCTGCTCACTTTCTCTNGCTTTTTTCAGCGCAAGTGATTCCTCAGAGAAGTAATTTGTCGTCATTATAATGAAGCAATGATCGAAATTTGAACTAAACGAATTTTCAGTAGCCTTTGTCCAGACAAGAGTTTGTACATATCACTTTTTTAAAACATTGAAGCAAATTGAGCCTAATTTATTTTAATAAGTAGCCTTTGACATAAAATGATTACCATGAACCTGTCTCTTATACACATCTAGATGTGTATAAGAGACAGCGTCTGGACAGAGAGAAGATGGAGATTCGGTTACACGATAATGGCTGTCAATAAGTAAAACAAAGAAAAGTCCAAAAAACTACTATTGCATTTCACAACGGGCATACCAGGTTTATCAAGATCAACTAAGCACTAACACAAGACACGGTGAAACAAAGACTTTAACTAAAAGAGAATGGGAACTACTACAACAAAGAACTACTCGCAACAAAGATTTGATATGGACAAGACAATGAATGAACTGGATTTCTAGGCAATGAATTAGCTACACATCTTATGCTAACGCATGAGTTCGTCACCACTAAATGAGACGGCGCATGCTGCACGCTAGCGGGTGGAACTAGAGCTCGGCGGATGGTTCTGAGAGAAGGCAGAGCGCTGTAAACCCTAAACTCCAATAGTTTAACTCTCGCGACGCGACACTTTCAATATTTATTATTGCTCATTTCACTATTTCACCATTTATTACTGTTTGCGCTGTCTCTACTTCACCATTTATTACTGATCACTCTCTCTATTTTACCATTTATTACTGCTCACTCTCTCTACGTCACTATTTATTACTGCTCACTCTCACTATTTCACCATTTATTACTACTCACTCTCTCTACTTCACCATTTATTACTGCCCACTAACTATTTCTTCATTTATTACTGCTCACTCTCTCTATTTCACTATTTTAGTGTATCATGTGCTAGGTTTTTTCACATGTCTTGCATTTAAGCGTTGCATACTATACATACACATTGCTTTTTACACGCTGCGTTTTAAGTGTTGCATTTCCAATACACATTACTTTTGCGCGTCGCGTTTTTTGCGTTGCGTTTTACGCATTGTGGTATACGTGTTGCATTTTCCATACGCACTACTTTTTTGGCATTGCGTTTTTCGCGTTGTTTTACGAATTGCGTTTTACGTGTTGCATTTGCCATAGGCATTAATTTTTGCGCATTTCCCACGCGCATTACTTTTAGGCATTGCGTTTTACGCGTTACGTATTACGCGCTGCGATTTACGCGCTGCGATTTACGCGCTGCGATTTACGCGCTGCTTTTACGCGCTGCGTTTTACGCGCTGCGTTTTACGCGCTGCGTTTTACGCGCTGCGTTTTACGCGCTGCGTTGTACGCGCTGCGTTTTACGCGTTGTGATTTACGCGCTGCGTTTTACGCGTTGCGTTTCACGCGTTGCATTTCACGCGCTGCGTTTTACGCACATAGCTTTACGCGTTACATTTCTAACATAAGTTAACGTTGTGTCGGCAGCCCAAAGAGAACTACTCGCAGTGGCGGCTGCTGTACTTCATCTCGTTCTTGTTGCTCGTGGGCTTCTTCGTGCTGAACATGTTCGTGGGTGTCGTGGTGGAGAACTTCCATCGCTGTCGTGAGGAGCAGGAGAAAGAGGAGAAGGCCAGACGAGCGGCCAAGAGGGCTAAGAAGCTCGAGAAGAAGAGAAAAAGTGAGAAGAACTTCGTCATTACTTTTATTTAGTATACAATTTGTATAAGAATAGTTTGTGTAGTATACATGATCATGGTATCTGACTCTATATCTGAATAATTATAAACAACAATCACTCATAGTTAACAATTCTGAATGATTTAGTTATCGCCACAAAGTTAACGTGCAGTCGTACTGTATTTACTGCACTCAGTTTTTTTTCTCAATCGATTATAAAAAGCCACCTCGCTATATCTGTTTAAAGCTCCAAAAACTAATATTCTTTCTCAATAATTCTGTAATCAGTATCAGTAATAAAGAATTTAATGGAGGCATGAAAGGCCCCGTACTACCACAGCTGCTCCTGCGGACTATTAACAACTACACTAGCTTAGGTCGTTACCAGACCGAGATGAGAGACCACCATACTATGCCTCACCTAATCTTTTCACTGAACAATAGCGTGCAAAATTTTCATTAATAGCGTTACTTGATTGACTTATCGCCTAATCTTTTCACTGATCAATAGTATATAAATTGTAATTAATAACCTTACTTGATTGACTTGTTAACAGAGATGAGGGAGCCGCCATACTACGCCGGCTACTCCAAGGGTCGCCTGTTCGTCCACAATCTCGTGACGTCGAAGTACTTCGACCTCGCCATCGCTGCCGTCATCGGCCTTAACGTCGTTACCATGGCCATGGAGTTCTATAAGATGCCAAAGGTCGTTGTTATAGCTATAATATGTGCCAGATTATGTAATAATTATTATATTATAAGATGCCAATAAAGGTTGCTATAGTTATTATATGCGTCCGTTTATGCTTTATAGTTAGAAGTATAAGATGCCAAAAGTTGTTGTTATAGCTATAATATGTGCCAGATTATGTAATAATTATTATATTATAAGATGCCAAGGGTTGCTATAGTTATATGCGTCCGTTTATACCTTATCGTTAAAAGTATAAGATGCCAAAGGTTGTTGTTATTGTTATAATATGCGCCAGATTGTAGCTAGAGCTATAAAATGCCCAAGGTTATTTATAGTTTCCGTAGCTGCAGCCACGTGCTGGAATATTATTTGTTATTCATTATATTAAGAGTATGATCTTTCAACTGATATTAGCTTTTTTCAGCGCAAGTGATTCCTCAGAGAAGTAATTTGTCGTCATTATAATGAAGCAATGATCGAAATTTGAACTAAACGAATTTTCAGTAGCCTTTGTCCAGACAAGAGTTTGTACATATCACTTTTTTAAAACATTGATTATATTATATTGTACTACATTATACTATATTATATTATATCATATTATATTATGATAATATGTGATATTGTAAAATGATAATATGTTGTATTTTAAGGTGTCGATATTTAATACTTCATCTTTGTTTTAATATCAAAGGGCTCAGCTCCTTATAGATATTCATATCTTGCAGTGACAAGCTCATCTTATTTGCCGTGAATTAAAACACAACAAATTTTGATGCTTCATAGATGAAGATTGATAACTAGTCTGTCAACGTAGCTTGGCTAAATGATATCACTAATTATTTGTTGATTTGAGCTTTTTATGACCCGGACTTATATCATTTTATAAACTGCAAAAGCCGTTCATTTATCCTTCTTATAACCCTTTCCAACTAAATATTTTTGCAACGTTAAAATCTCACTAAGTGTAGGTACGTTTGAACCTCAGCACTCGGGCAAGGGCTAAATAAGTACGAAAATTGCGTAAGAAGTTAAACTAATCCTTGCTTATTTTCCACAGCAACATTGCAGCCGAATTGCTGCCACAATTTGAATGTCAATTTTTTTGTTTCTTTCAAACTCATTACCATCGATTCTTACCACATTCATTTCAGAATATTTGTCGAAACAATAAATTGTAATAAATATCAACACAATTTTTCTGCGCTGTCTTAAATTTGAATTTAACGCATTTATTCCCTAATTCTCCGTCTATCTGGAAATATTTAGTGAAGAGTACAGGTACGTTTTGTTCGTCCTGCGGCCATGAAGCCTATGATTGTCCTCTCTAGATTAGTTCTTAGACTGTGCATTGTGTTGGGTCTTGGCTGTCGTAAGATAGGTTTTACGCTAATTTCGTAGGCCTGTGCTGTTGTACGCTAGGCTTTACCACATTGTCGTAGGCCTATGCTGTTGTAGGCTAGGCTTTACGACATTGTCATAGACTTGTACTGTCGTAAGGCTTTAATACATTGTCGTAAGCCTCTTGGCTCGGCTTTACTTCTCTGTCGTAAGCCTCTACTCTCATTGGCCCATGCTGTTGTAAGCTAGGTATTACGACATTGTCGTAGGCCTGTGTTGTTATTGGCTAGGCTTTCCGCTAGTGTCGTCGCCCTGTGATGTCGTAGGTTTAGGCTTTACACTGTACTTGGCTAAATTGTAATGCCTTTACTCACCACATTGGTGACGGCTCCTATCAAGTCATTAGAGTTCATCATATGTTCAGCAGTGAAGTCAAGTTCAATGAATGATCTTGATTTTTATATGGTCAATATTTTATCTGGTATTTTTGGCCCAGTGACAGTATGAGCGAGACATTCTTTCCGACATGCTCTACACGCGCACTTGGTCCAATTGTCAGAGTTGTACTTCCTCTTCAGTTGCCCAAGACTTAGACATGGCAAAACGTAGCACATGCCACCCCGTTTATTATATACAATAAAGCCACATAATTATAATTAATTTTTTGGCTATAATCATTTCAACCTATTTATCAGTTTTTTGAAACTCAGTACCTCATCTGATGCATTTATGAGCTGCATTGCACATTTTCAGATCAAACCTGTGATAGTAATAATTATATAGCTGATTGGTTTCGGAAAGACCAATCTTGAAATATTTTGCCAAAGCATAAAAGTTACTAATTCCGATAAAAATGCGGCACCTGAAATCTTCTTGAAACAAAATTCGTCATTTTGATAAATGGCATTTCGAATCCCTTCATTTTCAAATAAATCGTTGTAATTTGTACTTCAATTTACAAAATCTTCAAATAACTTCATTTGAAAGTAATAGATCTTGGCTAAATAAAAATTCTGAACGCTCAAATCTCAAGCCTGCCAATATTTGAATGGCCTGAGCTCATTTTATGATTTAAGTCCCTTTCTTAATTTCACAAACATTAAGAACCACCGTCCTCGTTTTTTCATTATTCAGACAATTTTTAATTCTCCTGAAACCACTTTAGCCGCAATTGCCCCTCAGTGCCGCGTTTTGTTCGATCATTTCAGAACCAAAACTCGAGTTTCCTCGTCTATGTTATTTTAGAAATCTATCCTCCAAGCGAATAAAATATCCATACATTATGGAAGATTATATAACATGCGAATACCTTCCTATAAGTACCTTACAAATTATTCTTGAAACCCTGGGCTAATATGTCTCGTCTCTCTTCCTTGCCGCTATTAACACAATCCAATAAACGCTCGACTCGTCTGCTGTAGCGGGTACGATTTTATTTCTCATTAAAGCTCTTGTCTGAAATTTCCGTGTCCTGTTTCAGTTTTAACAGCAATGAACCACAAGCTTGATTTATCGTCAAACTTTAACTAATACCTCACTTGCCCGCATCAAAATAACCCTTAACTTGCTATGTCTATTTTGTGTATTAAATAAATTGTTGTCATGAATTAAATTCAACAATTGACGGAATCTTTATGAAAGGAGAGCGCTTAAAAGCTTAGAAAAATATTTTTGTTAGAAAAATATAATTATTTATGGGGAGCGTTGATTGGTAATGTTGGGTATAATTGAAGAATGATTGCAATCAATTATATAGGCTTAAATTAACTGTTCATTTGAGTGATTTGAACGGAAATACTGCCGAAGACTGGAAAAAACTTAACCACATTATAATTAATTTTAACATATTTTTAATGATGAAATTTAAATGAAAAAATGAAATCTGGCTCTGTCTGTGACGGTATTTATTCATTAATAGCGGTAAAAACTTACAAAAAGGCGATAGTTCCGAACGTCCATTAATTAATTAAACCTATTTCATTCACTTTTTCTAAATATTATTTGTATAATCATTTCCACACCTTCTAGGATGTGACCTGACAAGCAATTTTGCAAAATAAGCCAATTTTAGTCTAGTCGTAATTTCTTTGAGTTGAGGGAGCGAACCTAAGATCAAGTCTCGCAGTGAAAATTCGTTTGGCCAACACAACAATTAAAATGTTTCATTAAACAATAAAATGATATAATAACCTTTTAGTCTGATTTATTTCTCAAATAATTCTTACTGAAGTATATCATGGAATATATATGAATAATAAACTAATTTATTTCGAAGTAAAGGTAATTCTTAACTGAAAATGCCGAAACGTTCCAATATACGAATTTGAACTTTCACAACAATTAAATTTAGAATTTTTAAGGTTCATATGCAAAATTTCTTGCATCAAAACCAAAATTAAAATTTACAAACTTTTAGATAGTAAGATTTGAACATTTCCTGGGCATCTGGAGAAAAGTGCAGTTATAAAAAGCTAGCCCTTCATTCGATGCTACACTGTTAAAAAAAATTCCCGTTAACGGTATTACCGGCGTTTCAGTGGCCGGTCGGCACGTGAAAAGAAACACCGTGTCGCCGTTTTTATTCTAATTCAACACTATAAGTCCGTGAAACATCTGATAAAAACGGCGAAAAAGTTTATTTTCACTGGGCGACCGGCCACTAGAACGCCAGTGGGACTGTTTTTTCACCGTTTTTTCTAACAGTGTAGCTTTTTCCATTTCAAGTCCCTCGATCTAATTTTGTTGAATATCAGAGCTATTTTAGATGTTCTTTGAAACACATGAAAATTAGGCTCGGTGCTAACTTATTTTGGAAGCTAGTCTCCTATAATTGCCTTTTTAACCTTCCATCACTTGGAATAATCTTCAAATCCTCGAAAAAAATGAATGATATATATACCAGGAAATGAATGATGTATTGTTAATCCATTCATAAATCAAAGTTGTTTAAAGTCCTGCTAGTTAATGAATACTCTCAGGAAATAACAATTAAAAAACATTCGAGAACTGTTTATTGTAAAAATCCACAATTTAAAAAGACTTTGACGCCCGAGTCGGGTTGTAAATCTTTATCGGAAACTTGGTACTCTATTATTGCTGATTTAACAATATTATTGAAAGGAATGAGCGATAATGTCCTTACTGAGTACATTAACCAATATCTCAGGTATCAAATAAATAAGGGAGCTAATAATTTATTAGCCATGCATGGCTACTAAACAGAGCAAAGATAGATTATTCATGTGTGCAAAACATTTCAAAACTTCGCTAATATTTTTGATACATTAGAGAACAAACCACTAGATAAGAGTTCGCCAAATTCTTTTGACGAATATCAGGATTCCTATTCAGGAATATCGGCAAAATAATTATTAATTTTGCTCTAAGGTTAATTAGCCAGATTTTATTTCGAATTCATTTTAGCCAAATTTCATTTCGAATAAATTGCCAGCATTGCGGGCAAGTGACGGAGTATATCCTTCCCTCCCAGCCTTCGCTTGAATTGTAATGGACGATGTTTTCTCAACGACGAAAAAACTTAACTTGTATATGGATAAATCAGCTCCTCTTAAATTCGCACTCCTCGAATAACATCATCATGTCTAACATGTAATATATTTTGTGTTTACAACCCGCCATGTTTGCACGGTTTTAGATTCTGACATGAATTTCTACGCAAATTCAGCAGAAAAACCCCGATGATCAATGGAGATGTACAGTTTACTTGATATAATAATTACTTAATTCTGGTCTTTTTAATTAATTCTGGTCCTGAGACTCCCTTAATTCATGCTGGTCCTGAGACTCCTCTTTGATTCATGGATGCTTTAATGAAGTTGCTGCATCCAGAAATTCGCTCGATTCACTCCTGGAACCATGAATATGATTAAAAAGTACGTGAATGCTGCTCTGTTTGGGATTTTTAAAATAGAAGTATTTCCGAACAAATGAACTGTTGCAATCTGTGTCGCAGCCTAGAAATGAAAAACTAATAATGAATGCAAACTCTGTCATTTTCCTCTAATAGATCCTTTCCCTTCCTGCGTAAATATCTTGAATCAAATATTTAAATTTCTCACATTACTCTACGCTGTAACACTGGTTCTCAGAAAAGAAAAGAATGTTTTTTGGCTACGCTTCCAAAAAATAACTTCGACAATTCTGCTGCCGTTAGAAAGCGATGGTTGAAGTGATAAGATTAATGCCATCTTATTTCAGCTAATAGAATAAAAAACACACAAAAAGGCTGAATAGTGCCGTGTACAAATGATTAAGATTTCAAAGTTCTACACTTCATCTTTGCTACATTTCCTGTAAATGTTAGTTTTCTCGTCGGTTTTTCGTTTCCTATAGAAATTATGTATGAATGTAGTGCATGATTTAAATATGCCTGACTCAGTTGACTGCATCTTGTTGTTTACCTCCATTTATATGTTGACTGTTCCATTTCTCTTGTTCATTCCTTAGTCTAGATTTCCTAGGGGAGAATTTCCGCAGAATCTTTCAAGTTTTACATAAATAGAATTTTATTTTTTCGGTTAAGCTAGTGTAGTGGCATCAAAAGTGAATAAATATAGATCTATTTCAAGTATAGTATCACATATTTTATTTAGAATGTGCCTCCTTTGATTACCTCATAAAACATAAGCTCCATGAGTTCTTTTGTAAGTATGAAGGCACAATATTCAAAGCGTATATACTATCACAGAAAATATCTTGTCAGTTGATAATTGACTGTCGTCTTGTTCCTAACTGCCAATGAATAAATTCTTTCAATAATTTTATTCTTGGAGCTAATTAAAACCGCACTCAGATGATCACAGAATCTTTACCTGAGATTTTCTTATAAATCTCATCCAGCATTATTGATGAGACAGAGCGCTTGAAGTGAATGGTTTTAAAAAAATTAGCTTAATTGCTTTTAGAACTTGCCACTTCAGCGCACAACCTATATGGGAATTCTCATGATTGCATTGATCTGCTTCCGAATTACCGTGAAACGAACCAATGCATGTGAGAAAGTTTCTATCCCTGCGCAGAAATACATTAAAATTTAGTTTATTTGTTCTCTATTCCGGTAATTGTCATTCTCATGTATTTTTTAATTGAATGAAGAACGTGCATGATCAATTTCTAATATTTAATATTCTTGTTGAAGTTATTTCCTGTGTTCCTATTGATATAACTCAGCTTCCTTTATTGACGTTTCCAGTATTTATTATTGTATACGAATGTGAACCTTTGTGCTGACATCATAAAAGAAGGTTGTACGATGAATAATTGTGGAATAATAATAAGAGTCTTGAAATATAAAAGGGGGTTTTACAGCAACCATGCTATATATCTGAGGCTTGTCTATCTTATGACGTTCGTTATTTTTTATACTCGATACAATTTTCTGGACACCTACAATCGGAAATTGTCTGCACAACTCGTACACCTGCGCACTTAGTAATTTTTCAATTAATCTATTTACAACCACAAAAATGTTTTTAATCATTTTTATTGTTCACGTACCATCTCAAAATTGTTTACTAAATATTTTCGCGAGTCAGCGTCCATAATGTTGAAATTCCGTAATAGTTTCCAAAATTACGGTATTTCTGGCAAAATTTGCGCCTATTGTGAACTACTGAGAATGAAAACGAAAATACTATCAATTCTAAAATAATCTTCTCACTTTGATTTCTTTCTGTTCTCATAGATTCGATTGCCGCCACTCTGGGTCATATAATCTCACAATCAATGTTGCCATCTCACTGATGGCAATCTCACAATAAATATTGTCCCCTCACTGGTGACAATCTCACAATCAATATTGTCCCCTCACTGATGACAATCTCACAATCAATATTGCCCCTCACTGGTGACAATCTCACAATCAATATTGCCCCCTCACTGGTGACAATCTCACAATAAATATTGTCCCCTCACTGGTGACAATGTCACAATCAATATTGTCCCCTCACTGGTGACAATCTCACAATAAATACTGTCCCCTCACTGGTGACAATGTCATTCACAATCAATATTGCTCCCTCACTGATGACAATCTCACAATCAATATTGTCCCCTCGCTGGTGACAATCTCACAATCAATATTGTCCCCTCACTGGTGACAATCTCACAATAAATATTTTATTGCAGATGGAACCAGCTGGACGTGGTGATTGTGCTGCTGAGTGTGGCAGGGATTGTGCTGGAGGAGATGAAGAGTGAGATCATCCCAATCAATCCGACAATCATCAGAGTCATGCGAGTCCTCAGGATTGCCAGGGGTGAGCTCAAATATACTAATCTGTTGCTGGCTTTTAGTATTGCAATCACTAATCCATTTCAATAGATTTCCCTCTGTATGATTTTTGTTAATTTGTTCATTTATTGTCATTTTATATCATTAATACCCCAGCTAGTAATCCGTATTGTTTCACAGATTAATCCACTCTTTCACCTTAAAAAACTTCACCGAACCTGTATTACCAACTCCCTAGACAATTCTATCAAAATTCCTTTCGGTATTTTTTGTATTTTCCGATCACTTTCTAAATAATTCCCATTGAAGTAATGGGAAATTATTATTAGCTTCATAATTTCCTTTCGATTACATAATAATAATTATTATCAAGTATAAATTCTCCTCATTAGTAAATATTTTTTTTTTTCTTGTCAGTTCTGAAGCTGCTGAAGATGGCTTAGGGCATCAGGGCGATCATAATTTCCTTTCCATTACCTTTCCTTCACTTTTTTCTTTCCATTTCCTGGGTTGAAATATCTTCAATAATTATTTTTAAGTATGAATTCTCCTCATTAGTAAATACTGATTTTTTTCCTGTCAGTTCTGAAGCTGCTGAAGATGGCTAAGGGCATCAGGGCGCTGCTAGACACCGTCATGCAGGCGCTGCCACAAGTGGGCAACCTCGGGCTGCTCTTCTTCTTGCTGTTCTTCATCTTCGCCGCACTCGGTGTCGAGCTCTTCGGCAGACTTGGTACGATTTAAATTACACTCTCTATTTAAAGATTTTGTTTTTATGGTCTTAAGGGGGGGGGGAATGTTGACTTAACTTAACTTAATGAATGAATGTTTCATTAAGTTTGTTTTAGATGTAATGTATAGCAAGCTCCTGCAAACGATTTCAACTAAAAGCATGAATAGAACAAGAATTTTGAATTGCATTCACTTTGCAAACATAAAATGTTCTAAAAATTCACGAGATAAAATGGAATGGTTCAATATTTCATGAACGGAATAATCTTTCCTTGTTCAAAATCAATATCGACGTAAATGTTCTTTCTGGATAAATACTTAAATGTAAAATTTATACATTTTTTATTCGTGGCCGTAAATTTCTTCTGGTCTTATCCTTCTTTTTTTACGGTATTTCTGCGTCAGAAGTTTGACAGGTGACGAATGTTTAAATACCGCCGACGGCAGCAAATTTTTCACATCATTCCGCCCGTCGAATTAATAAACGCTCATTTGTTACCTATTTCTAAGGGCAAAGTTGAAAATATGCGCAAACTAGATTAATTAACACCAAATCATCCCATAATATTGTGAAAATATTTCTACGAAATAATATATGATCACGATATGCATTATGACGCAGAGTGCGACGACAAGCATCCCTGCCAGGGGCTCGGCGAGCACGCGCACTTCAAGAACTTCGGCATTGCCTTCCTCACTCTCTTCCGCGTAGCCACTGGCGACAACTGGAACGGTATTATGAAGGTAAGTGGGTCAAGATATAGAGTTAAGTGAGTCACTGCAGTCAGTGTTAAGTCACACAACTGGAACGGTATTATGAAGGTAAGTGGGTCACGGCACAGAGTTAAGTGAGTCACAGCAGTGCTAAGTCACACAACTGGAACGGTATTATGAAGGTAAGTGGGTCACGGCACAGAGTTAAGTGAGTCACTGCAGTGCTAAGTCACACAACTGGAACGGTATTATGAAGGTAAGTGGGTCAAGATATAGAGTTAAGTGAGTCACTGCAGTGTTAAGTCACACAACTGGAACGGTATTATGAAGGTAAGTGAGTCAAGATACAGAGTTAAGTGAGTCATGCTAAGTCACACAACTGGAACGGTATTATGAAGGTAAGTGAGTCACGACACAGAGGTAAGTGAGTCACTGCAGTGCTAAGTCACACAACTGGAACGGTAGTTGTGAGGCTGGGTTGAAAAATCCGCAAACAATACATGAAGTTTTGGTGAAATTTAAACGTGTTCAACGGGAGTTGTAAAATAGCAACTTAACTTTTTTCTCGATTTCAACTCATTGTGGTCTTCATAGCTCAAAAATATTCAGCTTTTTACAGTTTGTGGTATCGTTAGTTTTCGTCGTTTTTCATATTAGTGATCAATAGTTAGTTGTGGGATGCAAGAAAGTTATCTTATTGCATTAAAAACTTGGTTGATGGCCATCTGTATATGAAGAGAGAATTAGTATACAGCAGACAGTTTAATGGTGATTAAGTTTTGAAGATCAATTGATTTGAAATAAACTAAATTAACAACAAACAATTTATGAATTAATTTACTTGAGTTTCGTTCCATCAGGACACAATCAGAGACGAATGTTCCGACGAGTCGGACTGCCTGAAGAACTGCTGCCTGTACCCGTTCGTAGCGCCCATATTCTTCGTAATATTCGTGCTGATGGCACAATTCGTGCTGGTGAACGTGGTCGTCGCCGTGCTGATGAAGCACCTCGAGGAGAGCCATAAGCTGGTCTGTATTTCATCTTCTATTTTCATAATTTTGCCCTAAATTTGTCTTCTTCCCTAGAGATTATTACCCTAGGATCCTCCCTGAATATAATGCTGCTGCTACAGTCCAGAACTAACATGTCTTGTAACTATATTTTTAAAGCAATACCACACTAATGTTCCTCAGAAAAAAAGTTTGATCCATTGCAGCTTATTATATGTACCAGGTGAACCAGAAAATTTGAAATTTAAGGAATTTCAAATTAATATTTCTTGTTAACCAAACATTGATAATTCAAGATCAGATTCAACACAAATTCTCTATTAAATGCTCTTGAAGAGCCAATCTTCGTTTATAATTTTGAATAATTGAAATCAAGATAAACTTTTTCAAAAAGTAGGAATTTAGGCTGCTGCGGCACCAGCCTTGAAGAAAATTTTTAATCAAATTCGGAAATTATTTTTGGAAAAATAACAATCAATATCAATATCCTCAGACCCCTTGTGAAGATAGCACATTAATCAATATGAATTTATTGTTATAAATAAACAGTAAAAATAAACGGTAAATAATCAACAGTGAAGATCGCCCTTCAACTTGGACTTCACTTTCCAGCAATTTTATTTGCATGCTATTCAGCCTATCAAATATATTGATGTTGTAGATTATTGCTTCTCCTTGTTTATGAACTTCTCTTGGTCAATTTCTTCAAGAAAGAATTGCCATTGACCTATTTTAGTATGTAATTTCATGAATTTTTTGTGCCCAAAGTAGTCGTTGTTATTTCAAATTTCCGTTGCAATTTAAGATGATAATGAAAAACTGAATATATTCAGTTAGTTCCATTTTGAAATATTTCAAAACTCATTCTTTATTCTGAATAAATTTCCTCTGTATTGTAATCTATTAAAATGAATTTAATAGTGAATATTTTTTTTATTTACGTCAATAATTGGCATAAACCTCCTCATAGTATATTGTGGCTAAGGCAACAAAACATGACGTCCCAAGCAACAATGTGCTATACATTTGTTCGTGCCACAATGTACTATTTTGTTGTTCAGGGCACAATGAACTATATTGCTGTTGAGGCCATAATATATTATAGCATTCTCTTGCAATAGTACAAAACTATCAAATTTTCTATCGAAAAAAAAATGAGAAATTATTTGCTTGGACTAGTCATTCCAATTGTTATCATTGTTTTCTTTCATTGCAACCGTAGAACTTTATGAATGTTTCTGTGTCTTCATCGGAACCCAAGTTGCTAATCTCATCATTAACTTTGTGTCCACCACTAAATTTAGCACTTCCTTAACGCGGTAAGTCCAAACGTTCACAAGCGTATGTATTAAAGTTCTCACCCGCGTCGATTACTGCACAATAATTACACAGAAATGCCGAGTTCTCACCAACCGTGTGATTTGTTGCACAATCTGAGCAAAATGGGTCGCCAAATGATTACATTTTAGCTGGATTTTTGTATGGAACCTTTAGATTTCCTACCACTATAGAGCAGAATTGTCGGAATTTCTATATCAAAGCAGCACAAAACCTGCAGCGATTTCAATTTAAAGTTATATACAATACATTTTTGCTAAAATCAAAGGCATTTTAGCTGTCGCCTGGATATTAAATGTTCAAAAGTGGAAGAAAATTGAGTTATTCGCTCTTGATGTTTCGTATTCCGTTTCCTGACTGCGTAAATTTTGAAGGGTTTCTGCTTCCCTCAAATTTGAATTGAACATAAATATTTGAGGGCATCCATTACCGTCATATTAGCTTATAGTAAATCATCTTTATGTTGCTAATACGAATAATTAATTCAAAATTAATTAATACTTTAAAGTGAACAAGTTTTTGCCCTGAAAAAGTTTACTGTATATTAAGTATAATGTTGACAATTAGTCGAGTATAAAACACAAATGGACAATTTGTCCATACACAAATATGGACAGTGAGTAACGTTATTGCTGCTGAAAATTACGCATATCGCTTGAATTCTTCATACATTCTTAATTTCAATTTTAATTCTTTATAAAAAATAAAAATTAACGTTCTAGCTTCCTTTAAAATTTCTGAGCAAAGTAGTGGAAACTGGCTTAATTTTGTCAAGCAATAAATATTTATTATTTAAAAACTATGAAATTATATTAAATGTAATTATTTTTAATTTAAATAATTATTAATATGGCTAATAATGTCAGCTTGTTTGCCGATTCCATAAATTCATTGAATTTAACCGATTTTTTTATCACAAATTTTATATGAATCATCAGATTGGTATTGCTTAATTTCTTTCAATAAAATCAATCACAGTCGCAAAAATTCACACATACCTGCTTTAAAATTTTCTTGACTCCTTCATACGACGAGTGCGAGTTGTTAGCGATCACACCCTTTGAAATTAATTCCATTTTATTCCTATTGAATATTGAACGCTTCTTTATACATGTTGTTTCCACACTTTATTCATGAAAAATGCGGAAGCCTGCGGCATAGAAGTCTACGCACTTGCTGTTTTGCTATCAATACGTATTGTTCAAAACAGTGTGTTTCGAAAATAATTTAAAAAAACGTTGTGCGTGAATTTGTTCAATTAAACCTATGTAGTATTACGACTAGTTATTCAATTTTACTAATTCTAGTCAAATTTAATCAGTAAATAAGGCTAGTAGTAATATGAGAAGGGCACTTGAATTAACCTTACTTGTACACCTTACACGTACTTGTTCAGCTCGAAATTGCACCTTAAATAGGAATAGCAAGTAATAAAATGTTTTGCCACGTAGTTTTCCTCATTGCACATGTACGCTTTTATCATATGTACACCTTCATCACATGTATACCTTCATCACATGTACACCTTCATCACATGTACACCTTCATCACATGTACACCTTCATCACATGTACACCTTACCATCACATGTGCACCTTCATCACATGTACACCTACATCACATGTACACCCTCATCACATGTACAACTTCATCACATGTACAACTTCATCACATGTACACCTTCATCAAATAACCTTCATCACATGTACACCTTCATCACATGTACACCTTCATCACACGTACACCTACATCACATGTACACCTTCATCGCATGTACACCTTCATCAAATAACATTCATCACATGTACACCTACATCACATGTACACCTTCATCACACGTACACCTTCATCACACGTACACCTTCATCACATGTACACCTTCATCACACGTACGCTTTCATAACCAGCTTTGAACGGCCAGTAGCTCCATGGCAGTCATTCATTTCTCTAACAGTTGTAGTCCATGTACTGGAAGTGCTTATTTCAGCACAAAATTAACAGAATTAAAGATAAAATAGAAATTAACTGGAAATAGCCGTGAACATAAAAATAATAACTAGTGGTTTTTCGTCAAACTTGCTGTCTAAAATAGCCTTCAAATATCATAACTACGGCAACAATAGTGGAATTCCATTTTATTGTCTAATTGAATGTAATTTTTTTATTCTAATTATTTCTTGTTCTTTAAAAGAATTTAAATTTTTTCTTTTAAATTTTTTTCATTTTGATAATAATAATATCTGTAAACAATATAACAAATACGTTAATAAATTTATTTATATCGAATTCCAATAATACGTAGCAGAGTCTTCATCATTTTTTTATTAAATAATAAATATACTCCGATAATGAAATTAACAATCGCTTAACGAAGTACAGATTTTCATCTATAAATTGAATATCACTTATGAGGCAATATTACAGGGCATTTCTTTTGTTATTTATCCGTGAATTATTTATCAGTTCATCATAAAATAGTGAACGCTTGTGAAGCAAAATAGTGACTCCCCGCAATGCCCACAGGAGGAGGAAGAGGCCATGGAAGCAGCTGCTCTCAAGCGGGTACTGTAACAAACTCTTGTGTATACCTTACCTTTCAAAGTTTTTGTCTTTACTTTCAATGTTAGCCTTCAAGAGCTTTGTATCTACACACACCTTTTTCTTTACTGCTGCTCTCAAGCGGGTACTGTAACAAACTCTTGTGTATATATTACCTTTCAAAGTTTTTGTCTTTACTTTCAATGTTAGCCTTCAAGAGCTTTGTATCTACACACACCTTTTTCTTTACTGCTGCTCTTAAGCGGGTACTGTAACAAACTCTTGTATATATCTTACCTTTCAAAGTCTTTGTGTTTACTTTCAATGTTATCCTTCAAGAGCTTTATGTCTTCACACACCTTCTTTTTTACCTTTTAAACGCTCTCTTTCTACTTTCCACGTTACCTTCCAGATGCTTTGTGTTTACTTTCATAGTTACCTTTCAAAGACCTTGTTTTTTTTCTAGGTACCTTTCAAAACGCTTTGTGATAACTTCTTTGTTACATTTCAAACGCTTGCTGTAGCACCTTCCTCGATACCTTTAATATGCTTTATGTCGACATTTTTCTCTATAACTTTCAAATACTTTGTGTTAGCATCTTTCTCGATACCTTTCAACGCTTCATGTTTAAGCTTTTTACCTTTCAATCACTTTGTTTGCACGTTTCTCGATACTTTTCAAACGCCAGAATATTCATTGTGTGTATTCCGGATAGGATTTTCCGGATAGGATAGGATTTTCTCTACAAGTCCTGTCATGTGAATTTTTCCAGTTATTGTATGACTCATGAAGACCTAAAATGTCTAACACTTGCCCGCCATGCACAATCTCATCCAGAGAATATCATAAAATTTTAGCGATGAAACTAACTATGGTTTTATTGGACAGTTAATTCGGCACGAGAAATTCCCTTCTGGCATTAAATTATATTTCATCATAATGATCACCATGCCTTGATAAATAAACGATGCGCAACTGTACAAATTCTTTTCCGAATAAAGCAAAATTCATGTCTTTTAAATATTTGATTCGAAGTTGCTGGATCGTTTACTCTATTATGATAATATTAGTAACGACTTAAATTTGTTACCAACTGGCCATGTTCCATTGGCTGAACACTTTAATAAACGGTGCTAATAAAAAAACCTTAATAAATATATATCCACCTTATCGGATTTTTCCTTTTCATAAAACTCATCTAAATTTTAGAGAACTTTCTACAATCTAGCAATTCACAAACACAAGCCAAAACGAATAATCTCTTATTTAATAACCTGAATGTTTTATTATTTTTTTCAGCGATATAGCATGCATTTCGATGCATTTTTTCAGAATTTTTGTATTCATTTTAATTACATGAACGATATTTTTATTCATTAAAAATTTTCAAGCTTTTATCCGCCACTCGTCAATAACATATGTGTTAAGTCTACGGACTTTACTCCTAACATTCAAATATCTTCAGGCGATGAAGCATTTTTGCTGATTTGCTCTCATTATTTTCAGATGGAAGACGAATACAATCTCGAAGTGGAGATAGAGCGTCAATTGGCGCTAGAAGAAGAGGAAATAAATGAACTTCAAGAGACCCTTGCGAACCATAAGCTTTCCCGAGTCTCCACCACCGCCAAAGTAAGTAGGGGCTTTGCCCAAATATGCTCAGAAATTACCATCATATTCTGAAAGCCTTCCGTACGTTTCTCATTATTACAAAAAAATTAAAACAAATGTCATATTATGAACACCTAAATGAACGCGTGTCCCGATATTAAGAAAGAACTAGAAAGCATACATCATGAAGATCTAAAGAAATGCGTCCAAAGTGCTTCAACCTGAGTAATCGTGAATTCGGAATAAAAATTAAGTTTGAGATAAATCTAAACTATATTTGTAAAGTCACTTCAATGCTCTACTGCACGCGCCTATATCAGAACGCCGCGCAGGCATATTATATTTTTATAGTAATTTCCATAATAGCAATCAAAAATTCGTGTAGTCATTCACCCTCTCATTTATTCTGTTCAAATTAAGGGGCATAGCTATCCATTCAACCAGCAATGAATAAGATGTGCTGTCTGATCAATTCTTCCTTCCAGATCAAAAAAGAAAGCCACAAATTTTCATTAATCCATGTAAATGACACGCTCTGTCATTTCCAAGTTCCTCTGAATTATTATTAAAAGCCTCAAGTATTCAATTTAGTCATAATCTAAAGAGTAAAACAAACGGTTTATTTAATCACGTCTTCACTGCAGATCATAAATGAAGTGGCGCAGAACCGGAGTTTGGCCAAAGGCTTTGGCCTCACCACCAAGGGCGGCGTGAGCTCGATCATGTTGAAGGGAGGCATCGGCATCAGAGGCCTGGGGGCGCATGGCTTGGCAGGCCAGTTCTTCCATAAGCCGCTGGGCAAAATGTCATCGTTGCCCGACAACTTCATATTCAGAGGACATCGTGGATCCGATCCTGGAATTCCGCGGATAAGAGGTGAGAAATTTAAAATTTTATTACACTTGAGCGGGCATATAATGACTCGAGTTGATATCATTTTGTTCGGCTGATTTTTTTATTCATCTTCGTTCCAGAACCCTCGCCGATTGTGACCATTTCTGAATTACAAGCCAAAGTTCCCAGTATCAACATCAATGGCTGCAATGGAGATCCAACTAGTAAAGATGCTAAAGAATTTCCTTCACACTTGAAATCAACTCATAATGATCCAAACTTGAAAAAACCGTCCCCGGAGGATCCCGAACATAAGATTTCGATAACTGATCTTCGAACGTCTCTGAGGTCCTCGAAACCTCCACCCCCTGGAGAAAATGTGCGTGTTGCGTCACCCACTTCTTCACCAGCTAATTCATCACCACGATCCATGTCTCCGATAGTTTTGTCCTCCATTGCGACTGCCACGGTTTCATTCATTAACTCGCCTAGAAGTGAGAGAAAAGTACCGCCCTCCCCTCTTGTGGCGGCAGCTTCTGTATCACCTCCATCGTCACCTTCATTATCTCTTTCCCAAATATCACCACGATCAACCACCGTCTTAGGCCCCATCACAAGATTTACATTCGGAGATTCTAGTTCGGGAACTTCCATAGATGCCCAAACTACTGGATATTCCCCCGAATCACCACGCCCACCCACTGATAGAAAACCAAGCTCTCCAAGCAAACAAAGAGATTCCCCATCACCAAGTAAAATTGATAATCAAAGTAAAGCGGGTGAAATGAGTAGAGGTAACGCTAGTCCTCTTTCGCAGCGCGCATTTAAGCAACTGAGATGGTGTACGTCTAGTAGAAAGAGCGCAGGAGCCTTCATCGTCAAAAGAAAGATCAGTCGCGAAGACTCGATGGTGGCCACTTTGATGACGAGTCTTGACAAGGTTCCAGAGCTCGGCGGTCATCTTGATATGGATTCCACTTCGTGTTCACTCTGTTCTAGTGGCGACGACGACTTGCCCTCACTACCAAGAGGACAATCTCCGTCACTTTTTCCTCGCGCCACGCCATCTTCTAATACTCCTTCTGATTCTGATGCTGCTCCTAAAAAGGCCCCGACCAATATTCAAATACACAGAGATGATGACGATGATACCCTCGGTTCTAACAGTGATTACACCATCGAGGGCGAACTAGATGACCAAGAGGACTTCTTGCCTTCCCCAAGTGATCCTTCCTACAAAGAGCATCCTGAACTGCAGCTTGGCAGTGGTGATGTACCTTCTACAAATAACCTTTATTCTAGTGAACTTCCTACTCCCTGTGATAACTCGTCTAACTGTGACGCCTCAACAAACTTTGCTACTTTCCGCATTCCTACTTTTTCTGATGCTTCTTTTCTTCAACTTTCGGTACAAAGTAGTGACAACACGTCAACGTTGACTCCTCCACCGGGACTTGATGCCATTGACGAAGGTGTGAAAAATGTCGGTAGTAAATTGGAACGAGCCTTGCAGAGGTCCGCATCTTCCCCTTATGGAGAAGAACCAAGAGCGAGTTGCTCCAGTCATTACAGTGGCTCTAAATCAGAATCTGATAGTATGACCAACCGCAAGTCTAAAATATCAAAGAAAGCGCCAACTTCAATTGCTGAGTTTTGTAGTTTAAGAGAAATGCCTCAGAGTAGCTCTGGGGCTTTAGAATCACAAGTTAAGCGAGATAAGTGCCAATCTTCCAGTAGGAAATCAAGTGTGGAAAATCCAACAACAGAATCCTGCGCTTCCCCAGAAGTGAGAACGGATGTGAAAGACGAAGAATCCTCCCTGCCTGAATCCTAGGGGCAGTATACGTGTTTAGTGTGTTTTTCGCTCTATATAAATAGTTATTCCTCGGAAGGGGCAAGTAAAAAAACTGAGGAAAGCCCACTGCAATAATCTCAAATGGCACCAGCCGATCTCACTATTCACGATATTTTTGTTACACATTTTGTTATTCACTCTGTCTATGTTAGAGATTACGGTATTCGAGCTTAATTTCATGGATGTGATGTTTTCGGTAGGCAGTGAGGCCAAGGTTTTAATTTTAATGCCCTAACCAAATTTTACTGCAAAAACACCAGGCACTTGCATCGTATTTTTAAACCTATTTTAATAATCTTTTTACCTCTCTTTATCTTTCTTACTTTAAGAACAATACTTTTTACATACGTTGATTTTGTACCTTCAGTGCCCTTTGATTGTCGCTTCCTGCCGCCGCTAACGCTACGAATGTATTTTTTGGTGCCAGCATCTTTCTCACTATTAACAAAAGCGACCGCGGGAATGGATAGTAAACAGCCTATGAATGTACTGATTTCTTATGGGATAAGCTAACCGCGATAAATTCAACGCAGCTGTGCACACTTTTCTGCCTTTTTCTTCGCAAACTCTTCTTCGTCAGACAATATTTACCATCATTAATTTCATGGCCGTCGAAATTTTATTTCCATATCATAAAAATTCTCAAAAATTGTCTAATGAAATCGATATTTAACAGGTTTTGTAGATGGCTCATCCTAAATGCGAAGCTAGAATCAATTTTTTTACCATGTTCACATTAAAGATTTATGTTAGATAAAGAAGGTCTGCAGACGTGCAGAATAATTGAATAATATTCCCCTGACATAGCTGAGAAAGATGGAAAGTTAAAAATCTAAATTTCAAATCGTTTATCTAATATATTTGCTTGTCTGCAGCGTAATTGTTAATGAAATGACATAGAATGACATCGAGTCGAGTTACTTGGGTCATTTTTGTTTAAGACCTGATGGTTATTGTAAACCATACTACTTGTATATTTTAAAATCCTTCTTTGTAAGATCTTCATCCATGAAAATCAAAATTTATATAAGGAGGAATTTGCACGGCTTTTGAATGCTACAAGATTGTTTCTTGGCAATTGATCAGAGAGCTGTGATTAGATTTACAACTGTTTACATATGATCCATCATCGTACAACTACTCGTACGAAATATCCGACATAAGTGAACATAATTCAGGACTGTGCATAAATTGTTTTAGCAAAAGCAATTTTTCGAATTTATACAAACTATCTTAGTCATGTGATGCATCTAGCAGTGTTATTGACATTTTTTTTCTGAAATGTTTTTTAATTATTCTATGTGAAAAAATTATGTACATGCTTCCTACAAACTGTAAGCCCGGATTGAACATGCATTTCTAAAACCCTACATCCTACAAGTCAACAATAAAGATTCGTCGTTCCCATTGTATTAGAAGCCAGGACTACAAATAGAATAGTAAAGTACGAGAACTGCGAATTAATATTATTAGTCTAGAAGCAAAATTTCGCTTTTTTGCTACTTTAATTTCAAGTAGGCTCAGAANCCTGACATCGATTAGGCTTTTGGTTGCAAGCTCCTGACATCGATTAGGCTTTTGGTTGCAAGCTCCTGACATCGATTAGGCTTTTGGTTGCAAGCCTGACATCGATTAGGCTTTTGGTTGCAAGCTCCTGACATCGATTAGGCTTTTGGTTGCAAGCTCCTGACATCGATTAGGCTTTTGGTTGCAAGCTCCTGACAGCGATTAGGCTTTTGGTTGCAAGCCTGACATCGATTAGGCTTTTCGTTGCAAGCTTCTGACATCGATTAGGCTTTTCGTCTTAAGTTCTTGACATCGATTATTCCGTGTAGAACTTTAAACTTTATTGATAAATCTTGAAGAAATATGAACTCATTTGGCTTATTCAGTATTATAATAAATTCAGTTTTTAGAATCATCATCAATCATTTTCAAGCACTAAGTCGAAAAAATGTTCTGTACGTTGATTATAATTATTCTTTTTGTTGATTTTCGTGCATTTGATATTTAAAAAAAATGGCTCATTCTGCATAATTTTCTGTATGAATAATCAATTCTCTCTACTACGAAAAATGCATATTTTCCAAAATTTTATTTTGAGGCTATGAGTGAGTTAATCTTGTTAACATTGTTCTGCTATTGGAGAAATTTTTGACAAAGTGATAAAAAAAAATTTTATCAGCGCGAGAAATTTTTTACGAATCAATGCCTGAATTTCCTTTGCATTTCCTTCTTCCTCAATAAATTTTTTCAGTACTTGGGCCGACAGCCATTGAACTGTCCAGGCTTCAATCAGCCGTTAGAAGTGTGAACACTTGAATTTTTAGTGGCATGAATATGCTGAAGTCTGAAGTCAGTCGCTTTTTGGGAAAAGATCCAAAAATATCATGTAAAGCGTATCTAAATAGCTATAGAACACAATTGTTAGACTTCCCATCCCTCGTGATCGTCTGCCTTGCTATAATTCTATCGTCGAGTTTCTATACTTCGTCTCCTGTGCGTGTATAGATTTGTGCTGAGTATTGCTAGAGTATTGCTGATAGAAGTCTCGTCTACTAGTTTGAGTCGTGAAAACAGAACTAGCATTGTTGTTGACAACAAGTATTATTGCATTATTTGTTGTAAATTTTAGTCCAGAATGTTAGAAAAGTCATTAAATAGTAGGTGAATATGTTCTTGGTTTTGTTGATGGACAGATTCATTCTGAGACATTTTTGAATTTTTGAATGGCTGATGAATGAATGGATTGAAGTTGACGGTTAATTTTGATGTTCGTTCGCTAGATGTGTTTGATACAGCAGTGTATGTACTTTATCGTATGTTATTAAAGAAATATCTTGACGATTTTATCTTTAGGACAATAATTTTCACCACGTACCCTCGCCACAGTTGGACATTATGGCACAGAGAAAAATCTGTCGCAAAATAATCAGGATTTTTCTTTTTTGAGGTTTTACTTTTGAAATTGCCAACATCTGATACTCATTTTTAAGTCTTGCTTAAATATTGTAGTCTCCAACAGTGGTATAATAATAATAATACTAACGGTAACTACCATCTTCAGTATTCACTAGCGATATTTACGCTTTAACAATCCGCATCGAAATTTAACGTTATCACCACTTCTGATGGATGCTCCCGATCTGACAGTTTGAATATTTTAGCTATTATTTCATGCGGCAAACTAATTTTGTATAAGAACAGCCCTAAGCTTAGATAGGATTTTCAGCAATAATTGAATGATCTGTTTATGAATAGTAGGATTAGACAACAAAAACAAGTAGTTTTAGGTCATAAGAAAGATATGAGAAGTATTAAACCACAGTCGTGCTAACGTGGTAGGTGTTCTAATGGTTATAGCCACGCTGTGTTCAAACTTCAAACAGATTTTCCTTAAATGTGTCCGATACTAATTTCTGCTGATCGATGAGATAATTCAAGTGATTGACAAATGAAGCTTTAAATGATTGACATGTTTGCTTTAAATATTTAAAATTTGTTTGTACATACCGGGCATTTAGGTTGAGTCAATTATACTGTGAAGCGGTCATGGTTATGAACAATTTATAGAATCATGTGTAATGCTGGAAGAAAATATTTTGAAAATTTGCGTTAAGTGGCCCAAGCTTAAGCGTCTTATAACTGGAATAAAAATTCTTTTTGATGAAGTAACTGAGCAAAATATTAATTCATTCAATTTTTTTGTGATTGTTTTCAATCATCGTTCAAACCTATTATTTCCGTGCCTTAGTTATTTAAAAACCTCATTTTAAATAATAAAATTTTATTCGATGAATTTAGAATGCTATTTGAAAAAGTGAAAACTGAAGCTGATTTTTTATTAATTATTCGGTTTTTTCTCGCTCTGAACGATTAGTGAAACCTCAAATATCTCATTTCACTCTAATTGAATAATTCACGGTGAGTGGTCCGCATCTAAACCTGTATTATCTTTCGATATCGATTAACTATATGAATGATAAATTCATACAAAAAAAACATCACTCTCCTTTTCTCCTCAGTAAACTCTATTGTTCTGGGACCATACTTTCAAAACTCGCTAAGTGAACGTAAGTACTTACGCTCTATTTTCTTGTCTATGATTGGTGGATTTTGCTTGAAAGGCCGTCAATGATTGGCTGATGAACTTACGACCTCTTAACTTTTTTTGAAAGTATGGGCCCAGAACATGAAATTATGATACGTTATGTCTTAGTTTTATTCCAGTTCAGTTGTTTTATTGGTACGTTGGATGAGTATTCGGGCTCCCAGTAAGAGGATTCAGTACAAAGCAAGAATATTTTTTTAGTAGACTCAACTCTTTTTGATGCATTTATTATTGCGCAAATCTCTTGTGAGGTAGCACTATTATTTTTTGCTACATGAACGCGTACTTCACTTTAGAGCCCAAACTCTATTCCACTACTTTTTTTTGGGAGGATACCTATTATCTGATTGACCTTTCAATTTATTCTGTCAAAAATGATATAAAACTATGGAAATATTTCTTCATCAAGCCTCGTATGGAAATTGAAAGACGACCGCTTCAGAAGCGAGATGTTCAATAGTGTTTCAGCAAGTAAAAATGTTTTCACGCTGTGAACAAATCGTCAATATGACTATCATCTCTGCAAACAGGACGAGTTCCGTCTGTCAAGGCGGCAGCGATTAGTCCATCTCGAGTGAACTAAGGGGCATTTGTATCCGGTCCGAGTGAACTAAGGGGCATTTGTATCCGGTCCGAGTGAACTAAGGGGCATTTTTATCCGGTCTTATATCTGTCGAATGATGAAAAATGTTTCTTGAGAAATTTTTCTTTACAACGAATCAATTTGTCTTCAGTAGACAAATGAATGAAAATTTATAAGCACGTGCTCGCATTTAGAAGCGTTTTTAATCATTTTCGTTTCTCCATGTTTTTTCTACGAATTGCTTCCTCAATACTTAAAACTCTATATCAATTTTCCACGTTCTAATGAGGAAATTAAATCATCGTGACGTTATTTTTTCAATGATGTAATCATTCTTTTTTTTTAATTAGTCATCATTAAGGAAATTTTGTTATCATTTCCGCATCATCGTGAAGGAAAGCTCTGTAATAAAAGAACTAATTACCTGAAGATAAGCTAGCAGTCATGTCCTTGTCTCTATGATAACATTCGTGTGTTCGTAGGCTACTGTGTTTTGTTTATGTAACTACTGCGTGAGATTTGCAGACCTCGAACGTATGTTTTCTAAACGAACGTTTCGTATTAATACAAGTTGTGTCTCGCGCATGTATTTCAAAGCGCATTTTTTGACGGTTAACCAACTTGCAAATAAGTGAAGTGTGTAATACTAACGAGTATTTTTCGAACGTAGCCTCGATCTTCTTCTATAACGCTGCTCCATATAGAATAAGTGGCCTTCCTAGGAAATTCTATAAGCTATATTTGTACTTTGTGTGAAAAGTCTTCTACTTTATACCTACCAACTATGACGTAAGCTCTCACTTAGTCATGGTGTTTTGTGGGTGTTAAGTCTCAGCCGGAGATTATGAGGGAATAGACAGTGAATCTAAGAAAATTGTGAATTGTGAGGGAATTGTGAACGTCTTCATTGAAGGAACTGCCACCATGCAGTGCAGAGCAGTTAATTTGCTATACCTCTTCATGTTTCTCTCACCTTTAAAGCTCGACTGGAGTTATAGTTCAGTTACGTAAGACTTCCACCTTCATGTAAAGTTACGTTAAATTTTGATTGACGTTTAGAAGACTTAATGCATTTTCATAGACAACTTTGATCAATTTCTTGCGTCTCTCTTCCAAAGATTAGTATCCCCATTGATAAGGTTTAGGTAAGGAATTAAATAAAATCGATATAGATGCCTTAGATGAAAATACTATGTAGTTGAGGAGAGCCCGTACAAAGGGCAGTTATATCAATGAATAAGTGTTGTTGTTCCTGTTGTCGAACTTGTTGCTCTTTTAAGTTTGGAAGGATATATGACATAACGAATCTGGTTCACATACATTTTTCAATTGTGCTGTTGCGTCCCGTTTGAAAGTAACAATATCGGGAAATGTAAGCAGTTGACGCTTAGAAGTCTTTTTATCATCTGCCAATCCTGGCTGTATTTATTTACTCGAAAATCATACCCGTATATTATCGCCATGAAGTTGTATTTTGTAGTAAGAATTAACACTATATAATATTGTTATTACAAAGTCATTAACGCATACAATTTCACACGCCTGAGTTTTGACTGTCTCTACCATACCTGGTGCATTACATTATGGTGCATTACACAGAGGTTGCTTTCGCTAACTATACTTAACATATTTTTATGACCAAAATGACGTTGTAAATACAAGCGTTCTCAACAAGCTTCATAAACTAGGCATCTATTAACCCAAGTTAACTTTTATTTCTTATTGGGCGCTTCTTTATTTAAATGAACTTATATTCTTTTGTTACTCGCATTCTAAACATCGTCTTTTTAATCATTCATCACTAATGATCATTTAACCATATAATGATATGGAAATCACTTATGGTATCTGTTCAGTGGAGAGCTCGAGAAAATCAATTGTAATTGAACTGGCCGCCGATCTAAGTTGGTCTAATTGACATTTCCATTTCAATATCCCGATGTGAGCCATCATGATATTTTTAGTAATGAAACGTCTTCTAAGTGGACTACATTTTGAAAGCCATAACTTTACAAAGAAGCATCAATGTCATGCTGAACCAACGAATATATTTTACTTCAAATCGGCAGAGTTATATTTTGCCATATATGGTATGAAAAGCCTGCTTAGTAATTGTTATTCCTTTTAATTTAGTCAGTTTCATGTGTTCATCCTTGCAAGTTATACCTCGATCACGAATTATAATGCTGTGTTGCTGCGACAAGTTAAAAACTATTGTTGATATTCTACATTTTTTTCATATTCTATTTGTATGAACAGCTCACGGAAGACCTCATTAGTAAACTCTATTTCAAGAGAGCTTATCTTTACCTTAATTATTATGTCCACTACATCGACGCTGAGAAGTAGTCTCGTGTAGGATATTGTTGGAACCTACGAACGAGCCCAATGTTATTGTTGCGGCAGCTGGGAAAATTTATGTAATTTTACGAATTTGGGGCCAAGTCTTTTATTAGTTCAGTTTAGTACAAGTCAAACATAAATTTATAATTTAAGCAATACCTACATATATGTTCCGGAATCTTAATGTTTTCCATTAGTCTTTACTTTCCATAGTAAGAATAATGCCCAGAAGCACACCTCAGCAGCATGACATACTACGGTAGTTTCCAAAAAAATACAGTTCAATTGAGGAAGGAATTTTCATGCTTCCTATTTGTTTTCAGACATTTATTGTGTTTCCGCTACAACTAAAACATTTATTGAACCTTAAAGCCTGCCACCGTAGGCCAGGTATACCGCCGTACAGTCGGAAAAATGAGCGGATCATTGACCAAACAGAGACACACTTTTTTATTCACAGCATAACAAGAGAGCGGTCTTAGTCATCCTAAGGCCTCGCCATACCTGGTCAGCATGACTGCCAAGGGCAAAAAATACATCGTTATTTGGACAAAGTCCCACATATTTCTCTGTGTGTAGGCAACAAAATTTTAGTGTGGATAATTTTTTGTTCCTAGAAATAAATTACAAAATTTTTTGTTCCTAGAAATAAATTGAAGCTCAAGAGAACACATGTATTTATTTTTAATCTACCAACATGCATTGAAACAATTGAATGCTGAACGTTCTCCTGCTTTATTCCTGTCGATTTCAAACCTGAACTAAATTAGAAATAAGTTATTAATTCAGGAGCTCAATATTAAACTACTGTATCAACTTTATAAGGTCGAAGTAGTGGTAAAGCTGCAAGAAAAATCTTCCTAAGGTCAAGAGAAAGTAAAAATTTCGAGCAGCACAGACTACAATTTAGAAGCACAAGGACCTGATATTGTGCTAGTTGATCAATGGAAAAAGCATTCCAATTAATGTCACTGTACAGGAATTCGGGAAACTTGAACTAAACTTAACTTTATTAGAACTTGAACCAAACTAAATCAAATTTCAGGAGTGAATAATGAACATGCGCAAATATTTCTTAAAGAACACGTCGCACGTATTTACCGATGAATTAATGAAAATGATTTTGCAATAAATAAATTATCTAGGAGCTAAAAGATCATGCATGGAATACATAAGGACCACCAGTCGCCTATTTCTTGTGGCTAAAGGCGCTCATGAAATAAGCGGTTCTCTTGATTAGCAGAAAGTTATTTTTACTCAGCATATTTTTATACAAATTTCTGATGAGAAAGTAATATTAGATGAGTATATTGGAGAGAAATTTGATCAATTCTAATGTATATAAATACTAGCATGGCAATGATTCCTAATCAGGAATGAATATGAAAATATGCATTCACGCATACTAAACAATTAGAGAGACAAGCGCAGCCTGGCGCACAGAGGCTTCTAGCAGATGAAAATCTTGTCAAATGAGAACAGACAAAACCAGCCGCACAATTTACACTAAAAATTCTCAAAATTTTTAACAACGATGAAAGTCGCCACCCAAAGCAGCAGCACCAGCGCTGACCTCAGCAGCACCAGTGGTGACCTCAGCAGCACCAGCGGTGACCTCAGCAGCACCAGCGCTGACCTCAGCAGCACCAGCGCTGACCTCAGCAGCACCAGCGCTGACCTCAGCAGCACCAGCGCTGACCTCAGCAGTAGCCTCAGCCACCAAATTCACTGAAGTCATCTCCAAATGGCAAGAACCTAGACATGGATTAGCAAATCATCAGTACAACATACACATATTATGCCCACACAATATTCCATGCTTAGATACACAATAATTTCAATACTTATGCTGAAATAATTCCTTCTCTCCTAACAACAAACAAAATTTGAACAGAGAAACTTGCAGACGAGTTTATTTTGAGCTGCAGACGTTTGCAGTTACAAAGATCTCAGTAAAATAATCAACATCAGTCAATTATTTCAAATTCGGGATGGTTGATGAAGTTCTCTCCCGTGTCCGGCAACATATGTTTTTTATCGTGCAATCAAGTCAACGCCGAAAATCTATTAAGGTAATTCGCATTTATTTGGGACTTAGCAATTAAGTTAGACTTGTAGTACATTTTTTAAAATAAACCTGGGCAATGAATGAAAAACCATTGGCATGGCAACATAAAATTCTATGAATCGCGGAACTACTAAAATTACTAATCTTACTTGCACCAACATCATCTTAGACTGAGCAAGGACATATATCTCTCGAGCTTAAATTTAACTGTACAGAGACGTATATCTCTTGCACGTACCTAAGACTGAGCAGAGACGTCATCTGGAGCCCCATTGGCTATGTCAGCCTTGTATAGGACGTCATAATGACCAGGTCTGAAGGAGTAAACAATCACTATTATCCTCATAAATATTAATTCCACTGCTGTTATGTTACGGTCATCATATTTCAAGTTATAAGTACTTATAGCTTTAGTTCGCTTCAATCACAAGTAAGAATTTAAAAGCAGAATTTTCTGTTTCTCCGCTAAGAATTTAAAGGCAGAGACAACGACAAGTAAATTCATTCATTTCTTTATAGAAAATGTTTTGGAGATGAGCCCCATCAATTTAAAAAAGTAAAATTATGGAGCTAATCTTCAATACGTTTTCAATGAAGGTTTGATGAATCTACTTGACATTTTCTTTGCTTTGGAATTCTTGGTTTTTAACTTAAATGGTTTAGGCAATCACAGATGGATAAGACTGAAGGACTTATAAGAAATGTGGTGCATACAAATAATTAATATCTATGCAGTAGATGCGTTAAAATAGTAATAGTATCGACATATATTACATACACAAAACACATGTATCTATTCGAACAATAATCTATATATAGTTCAAAGCCACGCTTCAATCAAAGCGAATTAATAACAACATAGGGAAATGTATGCGAGACATTCATATGCAGTAACATAAACTGAGATGGCTTAGTTAGCATTCGAGTGACTGCTGCTCATTGGTGTAACTATGGCGACCGGGATGACTATAACCACCATTTCCATTGACTTAAACCACCATTAAAAAGATAGCATGATAAGGGGATGGCACGATGGAGATGGTGGCTCTAGAGCCATAGGTACTGGGCTCTATGTCGATGGTTAGAAAATTGGGAGAAAGTCGAAGAGAAGGTGGAAAATTAAGGCCATCTTTAAAGCAGCAAAATGTCCTGCTTAGACTTGAAACGGCTAACACTCTACGGATCTGGTAGATGTCAAGTAACTAATACAAACCAACGTCAGTCATGAACAAATCCGGTCAAAGAACCAGTTTTCAGATTTCCTCTAAACAAGTTACAAAAATCGGCGACAGGCCACATCGGGCCTATTCTTCTATGAGATGATGAAGGCAAGCAGCAAACAGTGAGCATCAAGGTAACCGAATATCCTAAATAATTTGCAAGCTGGGAATGGCGGCGCAGAAGGCTCCAGGGATCAAGATGAGGGCTGGGTGAGGCAAGGCTAAGCGTGTAATCGTTCTGTGAGTGGCGATAAAGTCGCACAATAGAGGCCAAGTTGCCGGTACCATAAAGCCTTAATGCAGTAGAAATTTAGCCTTAATGCAGGAATAGGATGGTCTACCAGTCATGAACCAGGACACAGATTACAGATGAAGCCAAACCGGGGAGAGGTATAAGAGGGGCGTGGTAGTTTCCTTGGGGAATAAGTGAAGNAGCGAGCACCACACATGGCCACATAGTGATCACCACACATGGCCACATAGCGAGCACCACACATGGCTACATAGCGAGCACCACACATGGCCACATAGCGAGCACCACACGCGGCCACATAGTGAGCACCACACGCGGCCACATAGTGAGCACCACAAGCAGCCACATAGTGAGCACCACACGTGACAGCCAGTGCTCAGGCATCTACATAACATTTGGTGCTCTCTGCATGTACATATTCAGCGCCCTTAATAAATCACCTTGTATGAATCAGTTTTCAATACAATTTGAATGAATAAACAATAAAATTCTGCATAGTTTGTGTGTGGCACAACGATCGAGAAAAGCTTTGATGACTTGAAATACACCTATCTCTTATAAAGAAATGACTTAACACTAAATATTTTACATGAATTAGAAGAACATGTATCCATAGTGCGAATAACTAAGTTATTTAGAGAACATGTACCCCTTTCAAACGACCTAAACGCTTCTCTAACTCTAATGATAGGTGTATTCAGGTCACTAGTGAACCCATAGACTTTCCACTAGAATTACATGATTCCCTAAAATCACTGATTAATGATAGTAGTGTTCAGTAGCGAGCGTATAAGTCTTCCACTAGAACTGGGGATATTTTCTAGTAACTATGCTCGACTGAAGGCTAAGAGTAAACAAGTTCATCCTGTAGCAGCACCTGTTTACAGAATTCAACCACAGTTCTCTCGCCCTCGATAAAGAATGTGAAGAGTGTTCAGTAGTGAGCGCATAAGTCTTCCACTAGAACAGGGATATTTTCTAGTAATTATGCTCGACTGAAGGCTAAGAGTGAACAAATTCATCCTGTAGCAGCACCTGTTTACAGAATTCGACCACAGTTCTCTCGCCCTCGATAAAGAATGTTATAAGTGTTCAGTAATGAGCGCAAAAGTCTTCCACTAGAACAGGGATATTTTCTAGTAATTATGCTTGATTGAAGGCTAAGAGTGAACAAATTCATCCTGTAGCAGCACCTGTTTACAGAATTCGACCACAGTTCTCTCGCCCTCGATAAAGAATGTGAAGAAGTCAGCATTTTTCTGCAAGTGAGCTGAGATGAGTAGGCGCAAGTACACGACCAGGTAGTCGCTCAGTCCTGCGTCGTTGATGACAGACTCCACCCTCTGCAGGCTGTTGCTTTTGTTGATGCTCTTCTCTAGGTCGCTCAGCACTTCCACAAACTGTATCAAAAGACAATATAATAACAAGAAAATATATACCTATAAATATAATAAACAATAGACAAATATAGAAGATAACACAAGACAAAATAATAACAAAACAATATAATGAATAGGCAATACATACGTACTACCTAATATACCATAACAAGACATATACCTAATGAAGGGATCTGCAAGTAGATTTTTTTTTGCTGAAGCTTCTCTCCAGATCACACAGCACTTCCACAAATTATATCAAAAGTCATTCATGAGTGATTGGCAATCTAATAAATTATGTAAAAGTAAGTTGAGAAATAGTTCAATCATAATTAAGAGTTGATAGGTATAAGCCTCAAAGTATCAATTCAACAGCATCAGCATCAGACGCATCTTAACCCGTTTATGCTTGTCGTCCTACATTTAGGTCAGCTAACTTCCATCAAAAGTATTTTGTTGCTTACGCACGATAGAATATTATAGAATATTATAGAATTTTTATTTTATACATTTTTATTTTATATACCTATTTTATTTCCAACTGATTTTCTTGAATAAAGTGGATAAATTATTTAACTGTGTCTCAGTGAAACCATTTCATCAGTTTGTCCATAGTACAAGCAAAATTTTTCTCACCTTCAGCATAAATGGGTTAATAAATGCCAATGTTCAGTCTAAGTAAACACAAGCTTACCGTGTCATGGAAGTCTTCGGTTGTGAATTTAGGAAACCCAAGTGCAAAAAGTTCAGCTTTGCTTTCCACAATCTTCTTTTTAAATCTGAAAGAGAAACTGATAATCAAATAAGATATTCATTGCAATAAATTAATAGAAATTTGATGAAAATCAACACTAGACGATGAAAAGTATTAAAAATACTTTCAATTTATGATTAACACATCAATAAACAGCTCAAGATAAGCGATCAGACAAGATGGATGATATTGCAAAATGGATGATATGGCAAGATGGATGATATGGCAAGATGGATGATATGACAAAATGGATGATATGACAAAATGGATGATATGACATGATCAAGATGGATATGGCAAGATGGATAATTGACAAGGTGGATGATATGGCAAGATGGATGATATGGCAAGATGGATGATATGACAAGATGGATGATATGACAAGATGAATGATATGACAAGATGGACGATATGACAAGATGGATAATTGACAAGTATGATATGACAAGATGGATGATATGACAAGATGAATGATATGACAAGATGAATGATATGACAAGATGAATGATATGACAAGATGGATGATATGACAAGATGAATGATATGACAAGATGAATGATATGGCAAGATGGATGATACCGGTATGGCAAGATGGATGATATGACAAGATGGATGATAAATCCATATGGATGCCAGGAAGATACATTGAAGACGAGCCACAAGATGAGAGCCCCACCTTGCCAGCTCGTCAGGGTGCTGGATGCAGTGCTCAAGGTACGAGAAGATAAAGCCACGCAAGAAGCAGTTGCCATCTGGCCTAGTGCGCCGCATGTGACTGTACTGCTTCTGCAGCTGCTCTACCTGTGCAGTGAACAGTTATAATGAATGCTAGCAAAATTGTTGTTATATGAAGTTGTACAGTCAAAAGAAATGATACACATGGAAGTCACCTTCAGGGCAGGTGCATCCCGTAACTATATGTACAGACCCCATAACTGTATTGTATACTATACAGCTTATGCAGCAGCCACAAGGGTAGATATAACAGTAATAGAATGGTAAATATTACAGTTAAGAGTAATAAGATAATAAAGAAAGAGTAATAAGAAATGTAACTGTTAACTTTAAATATCTATAGAGCAATAATTATTGTAATGCATCACTTTTTTTGTAATTCATGCTTGATTAACATAAAAAATGAATTTTGTTGACAAATAAATATTAAATATTCAATAAAAAAAGATAGATAGCATGGATAGATACCTAGCACAGATATATATGTTTTTGCTCAGCAATATATTGAAAAAGAGTAATATCACATTACCTTAGCTGAATACACAATATCATTGGCAAATTCCTGTTGCAGCGGCTGAAGGTCAGTTTTTGGTCCAATCATCGGAGTGGAGGCTTTGATCTGTAACATAAATAATGATAAATTGTCCATACAACATAGGTAATAAATAATACATACTTCAATACTTCATACTTGAATTAACTTCATAATTCAAAATAATAAATGTTGACTGTGTTTTGATCTCAGCTGTTTTTTAGCAGCCTAAGCCTAATAATCCATGTTTATATGTAGTATCAATTAGATAAATCTGCAAAATAAAATAAACAATTAAATTGGAAAGTTTTCAATGAAAATATGGTTTTAATATTTTCTTTGCTTATTAATTCTAGATTAAATTTGTGGTCAAAGTAGTACCTACATAAATTGTTTATCAAATACTTTGCACCTGAAAATTTTCTCAGAAAAGAACAATTCCACATTCTGAGTGCTGCATTCTTCATTAGGGAAGCACTCATTCAGCATCTCGTACTATAGGTATATAATGGTGCATCTCTAAAAGACAGACCAAATCAGCAAGAAATGGATTTGAAGTGCCCTAATTTATAGGAAATGCTTTTCAAATATGCTGGGAAAAGGCTTCTTACCTCATCTACAATTTTTTGCTCCTGTGCTAAGATTAGCTCATCTTGGTTCACTGAAAATGAAATTGAATCTTTGTTAAAAACAAAACTACAAATATATTTTCTAGCTACCTTATAATACCTGGCAATTAGTAGAAGATAAATCTAGGAATGGATCAAAATTTCAATGGCTTTAGACTATAATTTAGCAACACCATGGCAGAAATTTTCTAGTAATGCAAAAACATCAGATCTATTGGTGTTTTCCATCCACCTACACTTGGGTTCAAGACTGAATAAAGATATATTCAAGACTGGCAGGGGATAACACTGAATTTTTCATGGTATCAGTATTCTTGCAGGACAATGCTTTACTGGTCAAGCTTAATATCAATTATGAAAGTGAATACCATAGTTTTGAAATTGAACAAACCTGTCGTTTGAGATACTGAGTTGGGCAGGTTGCTGGAAACACAACTTGCTCCGACGCGTGGTAAGTCAATTTCTGTCATCTCGGTGGCTTTGTTGGCCATGCCAGTGTCAAGGAGTAGGTCAGGAAGACCTCTACTCTCATTCACAAGATTAATTGCATCTGGAACCACCTGTTCATCCTCTATACCTGAATCTTGATTCATTCTTGTCTGTGATAAAATCTACTTTGGAGCTATTTTGTGCTTAGAATGAACAAATGAAGCTACTTATTGCTTGTACTTCTATGATAGGACACCAAAGCAAATAATATCCATTACCATGTAACTTAAATCCTAACCAAGTCATAACCTCATGCAAGTTGTCAAATTATTATGTAAAATTTCAAAATTCCTACTTACTACTAAAATTTCATGGTTCCAAAGTGATATATTTTCAATAATATTGGCATCTTGCAGCTTAATCTTGCACTCTTTTATCAATTAAATAAGAGATAATTAATCTAGCAGCTCTAAAATTGGCATTCAAACTCCATCCATGGCTTGGAAAATAGATATATATTTTTTACCCCTGCTACAATATAAACAAACAAGATCTCATGCAAGAACTGAAAATCAGAAATTTTTAGATATTACATTTAAATTACATTTTACATAAATTATATACGTTATATTGATTATATTAATTTGCCTAAAAAGTTCCTGATTGAAAATTCATAGACAAATGTGGTACCGTCAACTGGGGCTACTCGGGATGGGCGGGGTAACTCGGGACAGTCCTCCGACACGGCATAAAACTGTTTTAGTAGCAAAACTAATTGGAATATTGAAAAACCAAATACAGTGGTGTAAACATCAAAATTTTTCCTATCTATGTAGTATAAAGGAAGGTCAAAAATACTACATTTACTAGCTATGAAAAATTCCTGAAAAAAATTGTGAAAAACAATATTTTGAAAAGTTACTTCTGCTAAGGTCTGTACCGTCAACCGGGGCTACTCGGGATGATTTTGGACGTTTTTCATTCATAAATTCTTACCATGAAACATTTCATAAACAAGTTCAGGCTCATTTCAAAGCTCTTTGCAAGGGCTATTGCATGGCTTCTCCAAAAAAATCCATTTGCTATTCGTAAGGTGCCAGAAGCAAAAAAAGAGTGTCCTGAGTAGCCCCATCAAAGGTGGCTGCACAAAATAAAACCAACCCAATTTACCCCTGGGAATGGGGTAATCTAGGACACTTGCAATGAAAGTAAATTTTAAAACATTTGAAGCATGCAGAGTGTACTCATCCATTACTAACAGTACTCTGATGTCATCCTTTCATTGTAGATGATGTAGATGTAAAATAAATGATATTTTCTGTGATTTTTACTTGTTTTTCCTTTATTGATATATTACCATATTCATTAATTACTGTATTATTAATGTGATATTACTGTATCCATGGACTGTGGAAATGCCATTGAGCATTGACAACAACCTTGTCCACAGCAAGCTTCATATCAGCCGCCATGTAGCATTTCTTCTGTACCTGTAAGCTTACAGGATGGTTTGTAATTTCGCATAATTTTAATCCAGTCAAGTGATTTCACTATAACAAAAAAGATTGTGAAAAACATACCCGAAACAGAAAACAATGTTTTAGTGACAACCATATGTTTTGGAGAAATAAATCATAGTTTAGGTCAATTACTTTTCATTCTATGATGCCCGGTGCACAATTCTATACATAGCATTCTATGTACAATTTTGTGATTACGGTACCGATCATATAATATACTAATTTTTTGATAAGTGCATTTTTTTCGCTGAGCAAGGTAAATGTAATCAAAATTTTTTCTTGTTAATCATTTTTTTTAACTGGAGCCTTTGCTACCTGAGGTTCTAATGTAAATGCATTTTTAAGGGTGTCCCACCCCAGGGGGGTGTCCCTTTTTACCCTGTCGCGCAGAAATGGCTGCTATTTTTTTTGTAATGAGATAGACAAATTCCATCAATTACGTTTTCAAGCCAACACCTGGGTGCAACTTTTATGTAAGTAAAATTTTTTAATACAGCAAATATTTTTTTTGCTCCAGCCTCCAGACCTTAGCAGAGGTAAGGTATTTTTCCAAAATCACACTTTTTTGGTGATTTTTTAGAGATAGTAAATGTTTGATTTCTAGACTAGCTTTATACATAATAGATATCGTAAAATGGGGTAACTTAGACTGGCGGGGTAACTTAGACCACTTTTCGTTTTTTTAACAAAAACCCCCACAACTCAAAAACTATTTGACATAGAAAAATGTTGTCAATGGGCATTAAAGGCCTTCCAAGTAGATATATTCCATACTAGCGCTAGATCACCGGTAGCGGGAAAGAAGCTAGATACCTATTCAATTCAGTTGCATGTTAGCTCACGTGTTAGGCCTATGTAGTTCGGCTCGTCTGAACTCTGAATTGCATGTTTAGTTTAGTGTGCATGATGCCAATGGGAAACTCTGCCTAATGATTACTTAATGAAGTTTAGTTCATTGCGGTCAACTTAAGAGACAAACTTTCAACTAACTAATACTTTTTATAATTAATTTTAATTGTTGAGTGAAAGGTGCAGACTTGCAACTTCCAAGTGATTAGGTACTTTATAGAAACTGAGCAAGTTAGCATACGTGTTTTAAGCCTTTAAGAAGTTCATTTTTTGCCTCAAATAACAATGTTAGATCAAAAAAGTGGTCTTGGTGGATCGAAATAATATATGAACCTTCAAAATTAGAATTCCATCCTGGTGGTTGGATAATGGAATTGTAATGTTATCTGCTTTCTAGCTGTGACTGTGAGTCTGTGATTGGTTGATAGGGATGCTTTCAAGCTGTGATTGGTTGAACTTAATGGGGATGCTTTCAAGCTGTGATTGGTATTGGTTCATGGTTGTGCCCACTCACACTGCCCATAAGCCCTGCCCAGCGGGCTGGGCACCATAGTGATAGTGGCAAACCAGAGCTTTTTTAGAATCAGTTCATTTTTATTATCCTAATTTTTCAAGATTTAAACCAATTTCTTAAGTATGATAATGCTGGTTTCCATGATACTTTACTGGTCTACTTATAAGTTATAGGACTCAAAAATTAACTTGAGGGAGAGTCTAAAAAACTCTCTGCTTTGTCACTAATCACTATGCTGGGCACTATGTGTCGAAAGTCGTGAAGATGCCCGGCTGAGTTATGCTCAGGAAGATATTTGAATTGCACAGTCAACTTGGGCTATACTGACCATAGTGACAAAGCAGAGAGTTTTTTAGACTCTCCCTCAAGTTCATTTTTGAGTCTTATAAGTAGACCAGTAAATTATCATGGATAGGGTAAACGCGGTATATTCCGACACTTTAAGGACGCATCGAGAAATGAAAAACTATAAAAAAAAAACCGTATGCGTTACGTAAAGTTCTGTTGCCTTCACATGACTCTCAAAACACTTCACTACGTGTCAGCAACGATGAAACGTCACAAAATGTTGCCATATTTATTAAAAAGCCTTTAGAATGGAAACCTACCAAATCCCTATATTCCGTCATTTTGTGTGGCAACATCCGACACGTGGTGAGTCGTATTGCGTCAGCCCTTCAAATTTAACTGATACGTATTGCCGACATCCACGTGTTCGAATTCCGTTAGCTGTGTGAGCTGTATTGGGATACAACACGGCTTTGAATTAGAACAATAATGAATATTGAACACTACTTAATTACGTTTTAATTACCAGCTATTAGGCTTTTAATTAAGCAAATTTCAATTTTTGTACAAAGCTTNCTTGGCAGGGAGCATCTGGTTGACATGCCTTGCCACTTGTGGTGAACTCAAGAGGAGCAGCGCTGAACGAGAGTCAGAGCATAGCTGATAGCTTCCTACAACCCACTACCCAGGCCAGTGAGGTGGTCAAATTCCTGTCCTGTACAATAACCAAGGACTACAAGTACCTAGTGATACTGTGTCACTGTGATAGATTGCCGTAAGTTCAGTTGTCAATGTCGGCACACTGCAGTCAGGATGTAGGCGCCAAGATGTAGCACTATTCTTAGAGCCAAGAGGGAATATACAATACATTATTATACACACCGCACTCGCAGGCGCCAGGCAGCAGACACAAAGCAAGCGTCTGCCGTCTGTATCTGTAGCGGTGGAGACATTGGTTACTCATAAGAGCACGTCCTCACCGGAAGCAGATATTGACGGACAAAAATATCGCCGTCATACAGTCATAGCAAACTTTGATTTCGAGCTAATTTAACTTAGAATAGAATAGACATGATTGAATTATATAAGGTTGACCCACGAGAAGTTCCGTTTTCCAGTTCAGCTTTCTTGTTACGTCACGTAAATCGAGAATCGTAAACAAACCCGCCATTCCCATGATGGATTGGTTGACTGGTTTGATCGCATTTCGGTGATTCGTTAATGCCGTGACGTCACTGAGATCAGTGACGACACAGGCGAACAACGATCTACATCCGTAAAAATGAGCTTCTGTTGTGTCAATTTTATACTAGTTCAACCATGAGAATAGAAGTGTCGGCATTGAAGATTCGTCACGTTGAAGAAATAGGCCCATGTCATGTTACGGATTCTTGAACTTTTCGTGACTTGATTCACAAGGGATCCGGCTTTTGAAACTCGATCTTTCATAACATAACATAGCGATGTCGGCGCTAAAGAGTAGGCCTGATGTAGCCTGTCACCGAATCTTGAACTTTTCGTGACTTAACATAACATAACATAGTGATGTCGGCGCTGAAGCGTAGGCCTGATGTGGCCTGTCGCCGATTCTTTTCCTTTTCTTGCCTTGTTCACAGAAGATTGAAAATCGTGTCATTTGACCGGATCTTTTCATGATCAAATCTCGATGACCACACAACGTTTCCAAACTCTAGATTCGAGCGCACGACAGCAACAAACAACTACTTCATCGCTTCTGCATCTAGGAACTTATAAGAGCGTCTGATTAGACCAAGAAGTTTGTTGGATGTATTAGCTTTCGTTTCAACATGATTAGAAAATTTCAGCTCCTTGTCGACATAAACTCGAGATCTTTTTCCACACTAGACTTTTCAACCATTACTCTCTCCTTGTAACCATATCTTCTCATACTGTAATCTTGCTGTTCATTGTTCTTCCCAAGGTGAAGTACTTAACACTTGTTAGCTTTAAACCTCAGCTGTCACGTATCAGCCCAGTTAACTAAACTGTTATCTTGCAATTGCGCTTTATTTGACGCATGCTTCACTGCATTAGGAACTTTTGTGTCGTCGGCATACATGGAGCACACGCTGGACACTACTTCTGGCAGATCATTCATAAAAGCAACAAACAAAATAGGTCCAAAAACGC